TTAGAGAGGGCTGTAAAGCACTGTAAAGCGGTATATAAGTCTAAGTGCTATTGCTATTGTTACTGATTTTCAAGGGATTTTGGAGAAGGTTCTCAACTATTTGGTATGCAGTTCAACAATGTACCCACTCAATCTCCAGAATATAAAGATGACAAGGATGGTGGATGGGCTTGGCCATGAGTGGCTTCTCCTTGTTTGTTGCCTCAAGAGTTCTCAAGGATTTACCCAGGATCTCTGAAGATGAAGGGAGAGAACAAAGGCCTGGAGTAATGCTGGTGAGAGTCAACAAGCAAATATTATCAGACATGTTTAGTTTCACACTATGGTGGTAGAAGCAGCAAAGTACCAAGACTTCTTTGCCTCTTTTATTTAAACTGACTGCCATTTAACATTTAACACCGTTTAACATTGTTTGGTCCCCGTAAGAGAGCAACAGGCTGGAAGAACCACTTTCCTACTACTGATACGGACAGTTTTGCTAGGCACTTTGCACAAAAAAAAATATCTTTCATGATTGTTCAGATGTATGAGAAAGCAGAGTTCAGAGCTGAGATGCCAAGGTTAATACTTTGTAAGATTATCTAGGATTTGTTTTAACCTGTGTTCCCTGAGAAACAGGACAGGTTTTTCTGGGAGATTAGCTCCAACATATGGGTTGGATCATTGTCACTCATGTCTAATTAGACCCACCAGGGAAAGATCAGTGGTTCACCTTAGGAGGCACTGAATGCTTCTTTGAGAGAGCGACTGGTACCACCAGCTTTGTAAAAGTGACAGGGCGCCTCCTCCTCCTCCTCAAGAGTTCATTCCTAGATTTGGCCTTCCTGGACATCTTCCCATTGCCCAACTTTATTTTACTGTGATTGGGTAAGATTTAACAAAGGCACTGAATTGAAATGGAAGGCCCAAGTTCAGGTTTGACATGGGATGGAAACTACATATGTGTTGTGGCCCAGCAGGTGCTGTTGGAGCTGCCACCAGACTCCGACAGCGAGGGGCCCTCTGAGTCGGCTCTGGAGGAGGTGAAGGACCCTGGACAGGATTCTGACTCTGAGCAGAGAGGCTGGTTGGCCACCAGGAGGCACCTGAGCCTTGGACCAGCGGGGAGGAGACAAGGGAGAGTGAGCCG